GGGGATAGCCCAGTGCCTCTCACCCAAGGCTTGTGGACCCTCAGGGCCTCTTCCTGCTTGGTGTTGGCCCATTAACCAGCCCTCCTTGGGTGATGCATTCCAACTGCACTTCAGCCCTGTTTTTCGAGCTGCTGGAAGCCAAATACACTATATCAACCCCCTCCCCCCCATTCACTCAACTCCAACTCTGCCAAAGAGGAAGTGAGGTAAGGCTGATGGGCCCTGCTCTCAGTGACCCCTGGAGGTCACTGTGTCCTCAGCCAGGTGCTCACAGCCCTGCCTTTAATTCTAAGGCAGAGCCCTCGGCTGCCACCCTGAGGTCTGCTTGTCCAGCCTTTGAGCAAGTAGGACGCTGGCCGGCCCCGCCTTTGGGACCCTCTGCCTGGCCCTCACTGGGACCCTCACTGCTCTGTGGTCCTGCTCCTCTGTCTGCTGGGGAAACCCCAGTCTCCCTGGAGCAACCTGGGCCCATCTCCCCGCCCCTTCTGGCTCCTGTGTGAAAACCTCACCCTGCTTGTCACCAGTGCAGCTGTCAGAGGGGGGACCAGGCTCAGCATCAGCCCTCGGGCTAAGCAGCCAGCCTGGCCCTCGGGCTCTTCCTGTTCCACACAGAGCTTTCACGGGGACCTCAGTTGATGTCCTGCAGCCTCAGCTTCCCTGTTATCTCCTGGTCCTGGGCAGCCACGCCAGTTTCTGGAGCGATGCTGCCCTTTGCCTTTTGCGTTCGCACAGTCTGGTCATGGGGGCGCTTGGGCAGGGCTGGGGTGGAGGCCCCAGTCCCCAGGAGACCTGGCCTCTCCCAGACTCTTAAGTTGGGAGGAACCTCAGGAATGGGGCATCTAGTTCACCTCCCATCCTTATTTTGCAGCTGGAAAATCGGCCAGGACGGGAGGGGACCGGCCAGCCCTCTCACAGCCAGTCAGTGACAGAGCTGGAGGCACAGGGACTCCATGCCAGCCCCTCATCCTCTCTGCCTGGTTGAATGACCTCTGGGTCAGGGGCATGACTCATCTAAGTCACTCTTGCCACTCCAGGGCCTCACAAACCCCGAGTCCAGCCAGGGCTATGCCCCCTCCCCCAGGGGCTGGTACAGGGACACCCATGCTCATGACACTCATGTCAAAGCCAGAAGGGACCTCAGAGAGCCCCTTGTGCCTGAGTCACCCTCAGCTGTGGTTGGGTAACTCCCTCACTGTCTGCTGAGGCTCCCCCAGTCTCCAGTCTCCGATGCTCACTCTGCCCCGCCCTGGACTGGGTGTGGAGACTCAGATAAACAAGATGTAGGGCCCGCCCTTGAGGGGCTCTCTCCTAGGAGGAGAGACATAGACACTCTGCCCCAGACCTTGTTGAGGACCCATTTCTCACACGAGGAACTTGAGGCCCAGAGATGGGAGGCAAGTGTTACGGGTCGCCTGGCAAAAGCACAGCGAGCTGGCAGGCGAGCTGGGGCGTGGGGCAAGCCAAGAGGAGCAGGCTCTTCGTCTCATGGGAGGGTGCACAGCCTTGACTTGGGGGGCGGTAAGTAGCCAGGACCCCCCTCCCCTCCGAGAGGAGGGACCATCATCACTGTGGTGGGGGGAGGGGGGAAGCCTGAGGGAAGAGAGAAGTAAGAGTCTGGTCTCTGGAGGAAGACACAGAAAGTGAGTGGCAGGCAGGGGAAGTTGAGACTCAGAGAGAGGAAGGAATCTGCCCCAGGTGACAGAGAGTGAGGGCAGAGGAGGGACAAGAGGGTTGGCTGGTGCCACCAGCCAGAGCCTCGTCTGTCTTCCCCACGGACAGAGGGACCCAGGGCTCCCAAGGGTCAGACCAGGGATCCAGCAGAGCCTGTAAGAGAAGGGGTTAGTGCAAGTGGGCTGGGCATCTTGGAAGGCTTCCTGGAGGAGGTTGGGGCAGGGGGTCTGCCATGTCCAGATGAGCAGGGCCCCGCAGAGTCGGGCCCCCAGCACGGGGTTGGGGCAGCCTCTTCTCCTTCGGGGGGCTCACCTGCATTGCCTGCCCATCTGGAGCTGGTGGCCCTCTCCCTTCACACACAGGAAACCGTGGAGGAGGGAGAACAGGCCAGCCCTGCCTGGCCCCAGCCTGAGCTTTGGGCACCACTTGGGGTGAGGACCTCACCTCCCGTCTGGGAGAACCCACAGCTCTGGGGCTCACTTCGCCCTGTGGGGAAGGGGGTCCACGCTCACACGCACGCACATGGACACACACTCACACCCAGACGCACACGGAGGCTCACAGACCCACACCCCCAGGCGCACACAGCCTGGGGGCCGGGGAGCAGGAGGGCCCTCCAGCCTTTGGCTCTTGGGAGATGCCATTTCCAATGAGCCTCTTTGCTGGTGCCCCACCCCACTGGGGTTCCCCCAGCAGCCCAGCCTAGCTGGGTGTGGGGACCGGGCCACTGGCCATTCCTCTGTTTTCCTTGTACAGACTCTCACTGCCCACCCACCATCCCCAGACACATTTTATTTAATAACTTGTCATTGTTAAATTATTTATTAGCGTTTACCACACCACCACCCACCCTGCCCTCCACTCTCACCTTCCGCTCTTCCCACAAAAGCAGAAAATGGAAACAACAACGACGAGACATCAGTATATTTGTAAATAAACCAACCTGTACACGCCTGTGGTGACTCTCCTTGGGGGGAGGGGCTGTGCTGGGCCTGAGCCACTCCTGTGTGAGATGTTAGCAGATTTCTCGATGGCTGCCAGGGACAGCGGGTCAAGGAGTGTCCCTGGTCTTGCCCAACCCATTCTCTTGTCCTATTTCATAATCATCTCCCCATCCTTGAGCTGTCCCAACCTTGAACCATCTCCATCCTTAAAACAAACACATCCCATCTCACTCCCCAACATTCATTCATTCGTTCACCCAGCCAACGTGAAGAGCCTTTAAGTGCCTGCCGCCAGGCTGAGAACCAGGGATTGGTGGCCCCTGATTCACGGAAGTAGACGGTGTGATATGAGCTCAGCTGAGGGACAGCAAGGCCTTGTTACAGGGTGCCCAGCCTCGTCTGGAGGGGTGGAGCATCATGGAGGGCTTCCTGGAAGAAGCCACAGGTCAAGCTGAGACCCAAAGTTACCCAGCAGGGCAGGAACCGGACGAGAGTGTCCCAGCTGTACAAAGCCTCCCAGGCGGGCAGACTTGTGGATCTAAACTCCGAGCATAGCTAAGTTTGGGGGGCAGAGAAGCAATGGGGCTGGAGGCAGAGCTAGGCCATCCAGGGCCTCTCCTCGAGTGGAGAATGGATCCAATTAGGTCAGGTTGGAGGCATGGAGGTCAATGGAGTCACCTTTCTCACCTAGGTGACAGGTGACAGTGGCTTTGACTAGGGCAGTAACTGGGGAGAAAGGAGATGGATTCCCAAGATGTTGGGGAGAGAGGGAGATGAAAGCAGCCTCTAGGCGCCTGGCTCCCTGACGGCGCCGGAGCTCTGGTCTGGAGCGAGTGCAGCTCTGGGTCTCTGGGGGCATCTAAGTGGGCATGTCCTGGAGCAGGGCTGGGCCTCAAAGGGACCAGAGGCTGAGCACCCAGGTGTTCAACAACCAGGTGGGGGAGCTCGCCCTAGGGGATGCGACACAGGGGGAGAGGCAGAGGCCAAACGATGAGTATCAGGAGCACTTGGGACTGGGTCAGGGGAGATGGTGGCAGGGGTGGGGGATGGGTGGAGATGGCGGATACCCAAAGGAATTTGCCTCTCAAAGTGTGTTCTTCAAGCCTCCAGGCTCCTCGAGTACCTTGAGGCGTGCCAGTGTGCGTGTGTGTGCGTGTGCGTGTGTGTGTGTGTGCGTGTGTGTGTGTGTGTGTGTGTGTGCGAGTGTGTGTGTCTGTGGAAATCGCTCCGTGGGTGAGTCGGCCCAGGTGTCCTGTGCATGAAGCGGGGGACTGTAGGTATCAGTGTACCGTGTGCAGCTGGCCCTACAGCCAAGGCTGCCTAGATCTGCACGTGGATGTGTGTCTGTGTCATGAGGGTGGCTGCGTGTCCACACGTGGCTCTATCACTGTACATCTTTGTGCATCCGGGAGGCCTCTGGGCCTCAGGTCCGCAGACCTGATGTCCTAACCTTCTCTCCCTGCCCCCACCCCCATGCTCTTTCTCAGGGGCTTCCTCCCTCTGCCCGTGGGCACCAGCGCCCCCTGGAGGCACACACTGCCCTGCACCCCTTCCTGCAGCCTCCGGGTGACTGTCTCAGCCTCATGGCTTCTGGGAATCTAGACATGCGGAGGCCTCTGGTTCATTTCCTCCTTTGCACCCACCAACACCCTGAGAGGCAGGTATTACGGTCTCAAGTTTCAGAAGGGAAACCTGAAGCTTAGAAAGAGGCGGCAACCGGGTCAATAGGACAAAGCTAACAGGGGCCAGTAGAACCAGAGTTCAAAGTCAAGTTTGGCTGCAAACGAAGGCCCTTCCCACCACCCCTGCTGCCTCCCTAAGCCCACACTCTGGCCCTGAGGTCTTGTCTTCCAAGGTCAGGCCCAGGGACCCAGGGAGCAAGAAACTCTCTCCTACCTTCAAAGTGGCCTCACTGAGGTTCAGATACG